CCTCCCGTAAATTACTGGCTTTGGGAAGATGTTTTGGGTAGTAAAAGAAAGCTAAGCTGGCCATACACTGCTCCAATTTCAATTCTGCTGACTCGGCCAAACTTCAAGCAGTGTGTGGCACCCTTCTGACCCTTGTTCAAAAAAAGTAGATCTTCAATCAACTCAACGGAGCTAGTCTGAACATGTTCAGATGAACAATCAGTTGCAGTCACTGTTTGGATACTTTGATAGCACCCACGTCAGAGCACATTAAGCAGGGATGGGAAAATCGAGCCAGTGTATGACCAGTTTAATTCAGGTAGGGAGAAGCTGAGATATGAATGGTTTAATTCTTTAAGTAAGGGTGTTTTCAGAAAAAGAAAACCTTTGAAACATATGTAGCGCTCTACTGGAAAGGGTGCTATTAAAATGTAGTGATTGCCAAATTGTATGCGGTCTGATACTAATTTGTAGTCTGGGTTTATTTGGCTTTCCCCTAAACAATCTGCCATTGCTTGCCATCTGTCTTCTGATCACAGAACAGAGCAACCAATGGGATTGCTATGAGGGGATATCTCTCTCCAGCCAATCACTGTTGACCGATGGCCAGTGGTGCATGCTGGGGGAGGAGATAAATACTTGAGGTGGACCATGTGAGCTCTCTCTTTACTCACCTGGGCCCAGCCTATGGGGAAGCTGCACTGGATTGTCTGAGGAAGCTGGTCCTGAAGCCTGGGGACTAGCCGTGCGACAACCCTGGAGCCTGGTGGCAGCAGGTCCAGTGGCTGCTACTGCTAAAGACAAGGATGTTCGATCTGGATGTTCGATGTTCGGTCAGGTGTTCGATCTGTTGTGCATGGAGACAGTAACCACACTCTAAAAAGCAATGAGAGTCTACATCTTCCTGGATGATCCTAACCCTCCTCTACCTCTGCCTGAAGTTCTGAAATAAAAGTTTCAAGCATCATAGCTTCAGTCTGGACCTCGCTTCTGTGACTCTTCCACAGCTCCCTTCAAGCTTGGGTGGATGAATCTCCTGCTGCGGCAACTGTAACTACACAGGGGTCGGTGCGCAGCTGTGAGAATGCCCAAACAGTGACTGCGGTTGGCCTTTGATTTTTCTGGGTGAAGAATGTCAGGCCGACTGGGCCACCCACTGACTGAATTTTGGTCAGATGAACTGGTTAAAACCCACTCAGTGGGGGGCCAGCTTAACGTTCTTACTTTTATTACCCTGTCCTTTTTTTTTTTTACTTTTGATTTTTTTTTTTAGTAAGGGGTATGAAATATACAGCTCAAACCATAACAATGACATCTGACATCAATTGCAACATTGTCAAGTATAGTGACACAGAGGTATATTCAGTACTGTTGTTCAGAGCATATACAATCATCGACATCACAGTCATAAAAGTCATAAAATTCCAAGTGCCCAAAGATCGAGGAATTCAGATAAAGTCTAAGGAGGGTTGTAAAATCTATATCGGGCACTCTGTGCCAGGATTCGAGAAGGTCTAGAAATAGGGAGGTGTTGCAGGTGGAGGAGGTAGGGAAGGTTGTAATGGAGGTTAAGGATAGGTAGAGGGTAGGGTGGATGGAGAGCAACATAAAAGGGAGGGGGGCTGTCCTTTTTTTTTTTAAGATCGTTGTCTTTACAGATTTCTGCTTAAAAATGGGCACACAGAATTTTACTTGTTTTTCTAATAATTAGGGCAAATTGATGAAAGGATGGAAATTTTTTCTTGAGCAAAAAAAATTCTAAAGGTCCCCACACACCTTACGATAATCGTACGTTAATAGCGGGAAATCCCGCGATCGTACGATTATCGTAAGGTGTGTGGAAGCCGTGCGACCTCTGCTACTGTAAGGTCGCACGACTTTAAACTTACGAACATGTTTCAAAACCCGCCGAGCATCGTACGATGTTCGGCGGGTGTGTAGCATGTTCGTAAGATAAAAGCCGGACGGGCCGGTGTGCGCAAGCGCACACTGCCCGTTCGGCATTGCGGTCATCGGAAGCCCGCCCCTCAGGGGGCGTGGCTTGCGATCATCGCAAATACGATCTGCCTGTCCAAGATAGGCAGATCGTACGTTTTTTAGTACCTTACAGCGATGGTTATAAGGTTGTGTGCCCAGCCTTACAATGAATATGGTTTTCGTTCAGGAAACTCCATTCGTTCCAAAATCGAATGGTAAAATCAAACAAAAAACAAACAAACAAATGACATTTGCCAAGTCTCTGATGGCACTATTGGACGTTCTGACCAGATTTTTCGTATAAATGTTCATATGCATATCTACCAGTGTTTGGCCAGATACACATTTTGCTAAACCTTTGGTTATTAGTACTTATAGACCTTAGAAGAAGGTTGCTGACCCCTGAAATCTTGTCCTGAAAATGTAACTATTGGTACAAATAACAATAAAAAAAATCACTTAGAGTACTCAGCTGTATATGACTTGTTAAAACATACCTAGTTGTGTTATATTTTTTTTTATCACATTGATTCGGCTAAACCTTAAAGGAGAACTATGGGGTCAGTGCTTTTCCCCATAGTTCTCCTATGGGTAACGGGAGGACACAAACTAGCGTCCTCCCGTCACCCAAAGCTCAGTACTGAGACGCCGCAGCCCGGACGGATCCCGACATTACTGTCTGGATCCACCCAGCTGCGTGAGTGACAGCTGGCTCTGCCTATCGAGAGGAAGAGCCAGCTGTACTCGCCCCCGTCCGTTCCAAAAGTCAGCGCTGGAGGATCGGACAGGGGAGGGGGGATCCCTTCAGGGAGCCGTGAGTGACATTCACGGCTCTCTGCAGGGACAGGATCGAGAAGTGAGCGAGCGACGGTATGTGTTCGCTCACTTCCCGATCTACTGAGCCGACCTGTGACAATTTCATTGTCACAGGTCGGCTAGAACTATTAGGATGAGTGATTTTCACTCGCCTCATAGTTCTCCTTTAAACTTCTAAAGTTTACTTTCAACTCCGGACATATCCCCTGAATCCTCCATCAGCCCTCCGAGGGGATGCATGTAATAATAGTTTGGGGATTCTGTTATAAAGCTCCTATACAACATCTGTAGGTTAGAGATCGGCTGCTTCACTCACATATACACTCAACAGTCTCATTCCATTGAGGGAGGCCATTGAGTTCCACACAGGTGATATTGGCGGATGATGGGCGATATCCGGGCTCACATGTCACTGTTACCACATCGCCAATGCCAAAGTATTCTGTATCATTACTTGCGATGGACCAGTTGCTCGCTGATGGTTTCTCACACTGCCCTGGAATACAAGGCACACAATAGTTAAACAAGACTTCTGGGCACAAGAACAAACACAAGAAATATATTTTTAAAACAAATATTTACTAAAATGAGCAAATTGAATTGATTTACATGTTTATTCCCATCTCTTGTAATATGAGAGTTATAATTTACTGGCATACCTCTGCGAGTGCTGTTATACAGTTGTACCCCAAGGTCATGGATAGGTACATGAAACCTAAGCTGCCCTACAAGGAATCCCTGCATCTTTCATCAGCCTGTAATAACCGACCGCTTGGTTTAATTAAGTGCCTACGCTGGTCACCACTACACCATGCTGGCAAAGTGCAGTACATGCCCGCTATCTCCTGCAGGAAGTGTAAATAAACTATTGTAGAGGTGAGCAGATGTCTAAATAACAACTTCAATGACACGTTGCTTAATTTGCATCTTCAGTTTGATTGATCATCTACTGTACGAATTCCATTCACTCCAAAATGCATTGATAAAATAAATCGAAATTTCTAACATTTGTCAAGTTTGATGGCAATCTTGAATGTTTTGACAAGATTTTTCGTATAAACGTTCGTACGAAAATCGACCAGTGTTTGGCCAGATAAACCTTTGTAGAACTTGTAAATACCGATTGGATCTTAGAAGAAGGTAGAACCCTGAAAGCTTCCTGAAAATTTAACTTTTAGTACAAATAAAAAAAGTATTACATACAGTACTCAGCTGTATATGACTAGTTAAACCATACCTAGTTACAGGGCCATCTTTAATGAGGGGTAAAAAGGGCAGTTGCTCCAGGCCCAGTCATTGTTGTGGGGCCCAAAGCAGCTGTCGCTTGAACCCGCAAAAGATACACATGCGGCTCCACTGGTGAAACTACCAGGGTCCTGGACCCTGGCTTTACGCCACCTGGAGGGTGGG